GCATGTGGATGCTGGGATGGAGACCCGGTGAGGTGAGAGAAGGTCATGTCCGAAGAACCCCTGCCCAGCATGACCTTTGCTGGAAAATGAGAAAGGTCATTGTGTATTTTTATGGTGTTGAGTAAATTTAATCCTTTTCTGCCAAGGGCAAGTCACTCTTCATAGGGGTCTTGGGGATTTGGCCAATTGTGAGAATGTCTGTGGTAATATTAAAGCTTATTTTATGAGGCCTGTGGCCATTTTATGAGGTTGGTGGCCATTCCTTTCAAACCATAAATTTTATCCTTTAAAACAATGAGAATGACTGCTTTGAAAATGCCATTTGATGATGGAAAGTGCAGTCCTAGAAAACACCAAAACAAAGCGCAGATCCTCACTTCTGCCTCAGTCCTGGTTGTGGGCTGGGGTCAGGCATCTGGCACCACGTGAGGGCCTGGAGCCTCCCACGTGGGAGCTTCTCTGGGAAGTAGTGCTGTGGTGGAGGAACAGAAGGAGGGAGAGGAAGAGGAAGGGGACCGCACCTCCGCCCACAAACGCCCCCTTCGCCTGGCTGCTCTGGGTGGTGCATCTTGCTCCTTCCTCACGGCAAGAGGGCGGCTTTGACTTGCTTGCCCTCTCCCTGAGCCAAGGAGCTGTGTCTTCCCCCTCTGCCTCATGCCCCTAGATCCATGGCTTGAAGGATAGAACTCCTGAAATTAAAGCATTTTGCGGTGAATTCTGTTTGGGAAGTGCTGCATGTTATTTTCCCCTTCTGGAGATTCACAGTGAACCTCGACAGTAGTAATTAAGACGATTTTTTTAGCTAATGGCCCTCAGAGCCAGGTTTACGGGGCTTGAGTTGATCCCAGGGCCTAAGTCATGCCCTGCAACAGTGGGGCTTAGGATGTTACAGAAACTCTCACACCTCCAGAGACTTCCACCGTTTCCATTATTTTTTTGGCAGCAGCTTGCTAGCCACTGGTCAGAGCGCACGGGGAAGGGGGAACGGAGTCTCACCTTTCAGCCTGCGCAGGACCAACAGGTCCTTACATAACAATTTAAATAATTTCTTCTCCGTTCGTTCTTCTCTCCAGGAGAAGGGGGGGAAATGCGCTTGTATGTGCTAATAGATATTCCGTTGCTAGTTTAAACATGTAAAGTATGGATTAGGGATGTGAAAACTTGAAGCGGTGTTTTTGAGAGCAGCTTGTATCGTTATGGCAACTAAAGACATTTGCCGGTTTACAGCAGGCATAGAGTAGTGGGGGGAGGGGGGTGTAGATAAACTCAGAAGAATTCCTGTCCATGACTAGAGGCCAAAGCGCACGGATAAAATCTAGGGCAGTGGGTTCACAAGGAAAATGGGCTATTGGGCAGGCATTCCATAGCAGTTATAGGGGGGACAGGTGAAGACAGTAATTTTATGAAAAATCAGCCTACCGCCCAGACCGCTTCTAACCATTTGACTGCTATGAACCCTCTAGGTTGAGGATGTTTGCTTTAGGGAACCAGGCAGAAATCATGACACTTAGACCACATTTATGAGACTCTCACTCTGTGCTTCATGTCCATCTTCCCATTTCATACTTACGGCCCTGCTGTGACTCCTGGCAACGGACTACTCTTCTACCCACTTTATAGATGAGAGAAGTCAGGTGTCATGGGGCTAAGTTACACCCTCCGTGAGGCTAAGGAGGAAGCACAAGGCTCCTACTCTCTGCGTGTCTTTGCTTCCGGATACAGTGTGGAGTCTGCAGGGACACTTCCTCACATTCCAGGAAGGAATTGAAACACTAGAGAAATAAGAGCTTCCGAAATCACCTCAATGCAAGGCTGCCGCCTTCTGTGCTGCCCACCTGGAGGGGGCCTGGCTCGCTTATCAGCTTATCAGTGGGGTTGCAACACGCAGAGCCGCTCCCTGCAGGGCTCCCAGGGGGAGAAGGGGACTTCATCAAGGTCTTGGCCCTCCTGTGGCTGTGGAGTCTGACCCTGAATCCTGATGGAACGCTGCAGACCCCCTGGGGCCACACGGAGCTGGACAAGCCCAGAGCAAAGAGCAAAGGGGAGGTGGGAGTGCTCCCAAAAGGAGGGTCCTCACCTACTCTTTTAAGATGCGCTTTCTTTCTTGGCAACCCTGCCTTCTCCTAGAGATGTAGTGAGAGAAATTCTTAGAGAGTTTCAGAATTTGCCTGGCTTATCTGTAAACTATGTGGAGGGAGAGTTTCAAAATCCCGCTGTTTTCACAACTTAAACCTCTGTTGTCACTGTGGTTATCAAGGCAGTGCTGGCTCCTGACCCTAGCAGGGACTTAGCTGCATGCCAGCCATAGTGGGGAATGCTCAGTAATTTCCTCGGGCCTCCACAGTAGGCCTTACTGTTGGAGAAGAGAAGTTCTGGAAAAGTTGTCTCTGAAGTAAGTTTCTATTAATAGAATAATTTGCATATTTAATGGTATATAACATTTAAAAAAAACACTGTCAATATCCCATGAAAGATTAAAACATACACTTTTATTTTATTTATTTATTTTTTAATGTTTATTTATTTTTGAGAAAGACAGAGGGAGAGAGGGACAGAGTGCAAGCAGGGGAGGGGCAGATAGAGAGGGAGACAGAATCTGAAGCAGGCTCCAGGCTCCGAGCTATCAGCACAGAGCCCGATGTGGGGCTCGAACTTGTGAACTGAGACATCATGACCTGAGCCGAAGTCAGATGCTTAAGTGACTGAGCCACCCAGGCGCCCCTAAAATATACATTTTTAAATCCTGTATTTGAAGAAAAAGGAATATAGCAATAATACAAAGATAATACAAATATAAAGACTTTCCTGGCCAAGACTAGAAATCTCTTGGGATTGGATTCCTCCCCCCAAACCACACCCATGGCCTAATTCCCAGGTATGTGGCCCATCTGGGTTGCACAGGACCCCTGCTCAAGACCTGCACTTGGCTTAATGCTGTGTTCCTACAGTCTTCAAATTCTGAACCCTCTCTCAACAGGGGCCCCGTGTTTTCATTTCACACTGGGCACCGTGAACTATGCAGTCAGTCCTGCCTCACTGGTTCCCTATCCCTGCAGAATGAAGGTCGGGCTTGGTAAAGCTCTCGGGCCAAGCCCCAGCACCCCTTCCCACCTCTCCTCACTGGTCTTCGAGGCCTCTCAGGGTGCCTCCTCCCCTGCACAAATCCTCAGCACTCCCCAGGTAGGTTCTGGCCTCTAGCTTTGCTCCTGCAGTCCCTACCTTGGCCAGGGAGCCCCTCCTCTACCTGCACCCTCCTGGAGCCTCCCCTCCCTACCTCTGGCCTGGCTTCAGCGCTCGTCTAGGTGCAACCTCACAGCACATGTGCCATGCTGCACCAACATTCTACATACATGTCTGTCCCCCAGCACTCAGGAAACCCTTCCAGGCGAGCACTAGGGCTGGCAGGCCATCCCCACCGCAGTGTCAGGCAGCAGGAGTCAGCTGGCATTGAAATGACTAAGGAAGCTCCGGTCTATAGGGAGCAGTCTTCGGAGACGCCACAGAGGACTTGTTCTCCAGATAAGATGGAAGCTCTTTCTGTCCTCCCCAAATATCCCTTTTTCAAACCAAACTCATTTCCTATCTGGAAACAAATGTCAAACACTGGGGGCTCACCAATTAGTTCTGTGTGTGTGTGTGTGTGTGTGTGTGTGTGTGTGTGTGTGTGTATGTGTGTATACGAGTGTGCATAACGAGGCTACCAATAGACTTAAAACACTTTGTTTAATGTTTATTTATTTATTTTTGAGACAGAGAGAGATAGAGAGTGAGCAGGGGAAGGGCAGAGAGAGAGGGAGAAAGAATCCCAAGCAAGTTCCATGCTGACAGCACAGAGCCTGATGTAGGGCTTGAACCCATAAACCCCGAGATCATGACCTGAGCAGAAACGGAGCTGGACATTTAAACGACTGAGCCACCCAGGTGCCCCTATAACACTTTGTTTAAACCTGCTTTCTTCTTTCATTTCTTCTGGCATTATTCATGTAGTGTGGTTTCTGTTTCTGTTAAAAGAAGCTGGTCTCTAGTTTCTTTTAAAAAAAATTTTTTTTTCAACGTTTATTTATTTTTGGGACAGAGAGAGACAGAGCATGAATGGGGGAGGGGCAGAGAGAGAGGGAGACACAGAATCGGAAACAGGCTCCAGGCTCCGAGCCATCAGCCCAGAGCCCGACGCGGGGCTCGAACTCACAGACCGTGAGATCGTGACCTGGCTGAAGTCAGACGCTTAACCGACTGCGCCACCCAGGCGCCCCTCTAGTTTCTTAGTTTAGCACATGCAGACTTTTACATGGAAGGTTCTTTCATTCAACTAACTTAACAGCTGGGTGGCAAGGGCTTGTTGGCTCAGTGTAAGGAGAATGGGCACTGGGCCATGGGCATTACCAGGCTCTTCAGTTGTCCTGGTTTCAGGGTCAGCTTCTCCACTAGGTAACGCACAGACAGGACCTGGGGCCCACAAAAATGTCTTAATTTCTTTTAAAATCTGAAGAAATAATAATAATATATATGTAACATGTAGCCTATAAATCCAGTGTGGATTATATTTGTCTTCAATGCAGTCATAAAATTTAATTTTTTAAACTTTATGGGGTGCCTGGGTGGCTCAGTCGGTTAAGCGTCCGACTTTGGCTCAGGTCATGATCTCACAGTTCGTGGGTTTGGGCCCCGCGTCGGGCTCCGTGCTGGCCGCTCAGAGCCTGGAGCCTGCTTCAGATTCTGTGTCTCCCTCTCACTCTCTGCCCCTCTCACACTCACACTCTGTCTCTGTGTCTCTGTCTCTGTCTCTCTCTCTCTCAAAAATAAACATTAAAAATATTTTTTTTATGAGGAAGGGGCCCCCAGAAGGCACGGTACAGCCCTGCATGTTTGGCATTACCTGTGTCATTGGACACCTCACAACTTCCACCCTCGCCCTCTGGTTCTATCAGCAGCAAGAAGGTAAGCCAGGCCATTTTGAAGGTTTGGTAAGAGTAGGCAGGACAAGCACTCCATGGTGCTTGTTTCCCAGGGCGGTCAGCCCTAAGGGAACACAGCCCGTGATCATGGGCCGCTGTGACTCTCTTTCCTGTCAAGGGCACCGAGCTGACTCATCGCCGAGGCCATGACTGGGCACCACTTCTCTGGTAAACACCCTCCTGGTGAGGTGTGGAGCACACACTGCCAGCTGTCTTCCCATGGATGAATGCCCTCTGGTATCCTGGGGACCGAGGCAGCACCCAGGAATCTTTACTGGAGTAGATGCCTATCAGGAAAGCCTAATTTGTACATTTATCTTTTAAGGAAAATTTCTTTGAACTCCTGGATCTGGGGAGGAGCGAGAAACGTGTGAGGAAACAGTAAAGGTTCTCCACGCCTCTCTGATAAATTCATTGCCCCCACTGTCCTAGGGCAGCAGGAGCCTTGGGATACACACAGGTAAGTCACAGAGCTCCCATGCGGTCAGCTGCATGGAGCTGACAGTGCAGTGGGCTTAGGGGGTGGCCTTGTGTGACTTCAGGGGGTCTGAATGAGCATGTAGTCAACCTAGACCAAGGTGCCAGCTTCAGTGCTCCTAGCTGACGGTATGCCAGATTCTGGGCAAAAGACTACAGCACTTCCCACTTTAACCTCACAACAGTCCTCTCAGGGAGATGCTGTTGCACCCATTTTACAGATGAGGAAACTGAAGGGTAGAGAGGATACCGAGAGACAAGATGAATCAATGGATAACCCTCAAGTGGCCTGGCAACAGGGTCTCTGGGACTGAGGTGGGAGGGGCTGTGCATGGTCTTTTCTCGCTTGCTGTCTCCAGATCCTGGGCACTGGCGTTCCCAGCACCTCCTTGAATAGCCTGTGTTTACGCTAAGACTTCCTAGTACCCCAGCATGATTTGTCCCTTACCCTCCAAAACTCCTTTCATGCCCAGTAGAAAGAGAGAGCTTTCCTCCACGGGAGCACAAGCATGGCCCACCATGCTGAGAGGACACAGCCAGTTCTGCAGGCACCAGCTGACCCTTCTCCCTGTGAGATTCATCCTGTCCCAGCAACACTCTGCAGTTGCCTATGTTCATGAGCATAACCAAGGTCAAGCAGTGTTCCCAAGGTCACATAGCTAGCAAGGCAAGGGGCAGAGCCAGGACTAAACCCAGGCTGAATAATTGTAGAGCCTGTGTTCTAAACCACTGCATTCTATCTAAGTGCTCCTTTTTCATCAAAAACAGCTTTAAAAACAAAAACAAAAACAAAAACAAACAAAAAAGCCTAAATAGTTCCTGCCCTGGCTTTCTCACAGGGTTCCTGGGAAGGCCAAATGAGACAATGTATACAAAAGTTCTGTGCTTCCTAGTTTAATACTCACCCCTCTTCATCTTCAAATTGCTTAGTCTTCAGTTGGTGTTGTTCTTGATTTGGGGCTCTGATGATTCTGAAAAGCAAAATTATTGATATGCACAAGGTCAAAGCCCTTTAGGTGACTACATTTCAGTAGGGTGTAGTGATAGGAAGATAGGCTGATATCAGGATATCTGACTTCTAGTCTTGATAATGTCATTGTCCTTATTTTGCACCTGAACATGTGGGCACCATCCTTTCATTATTGAGTACTCTACTGTAACCAGATTCTGTGCTGGGCAATGCGGGTGCAGGAAAAAAAGTCTCAATTTTTGCCTTCAAGAAGCACAGCCTAGTCTTTCTGGCAATGGTTGGAAAAGTGTGGTAGACCACACTTTGTCATTATTTGCTGCTTTTTCTGTGAGGGGATTGTTTTTCTCTGCCTTATTGACATTGGCTTCGGCATATGACTTACACTGGCCAATGAATGCAAGTCAAAGTGGCATACACCACATCTGAGCCAATGCATGTCTCCACCAGTTCTCTTACCTTTTCTTCTCTGCTACAAGACCAGTGTGGCCCAGAGATGGGCTACACTTTGTCCTTGGTTCTGGAATAAAAGAAAAGCTATACTTAACCCACAGAAGATGTGAATCATGAGCAAGAAATAAACCTTCTACTGTTGTGGTTGTAAGACTGAGATTTGGGGGATATTTGTTATGCAGCTTAACTTAGCAAAAGCTGAGCGATACAAAAGGAAAGAAGTAGGCTCTATGTTTCTGTCCCCTTGTTTGCATCAGTTTGGAGATAAGAATGGTAATCCTTGTGTCTAATAGATTTTATGTGGCTCAAAAACCTATTTTATTCATTTCTTGTCTTCAGAGCCATTGAGTCTAGGCAGCCAGGGGTCTGGGCAACCGGGACAGGCCAAATCCACAGAACAACTTTGCTGCTCCTTTGCCTCTGGCCTTGGTGTTGGGTCCTATGCTTGAATATTTCTTTATCACTGTTTCTGGCAAGTGGTTGGTTCTTTGCGTTGAAATAGCCCCAAGCTGCTTTTCTGCCCACATTTGTAGGGTAGGATCGGGGGGATATTTGTCACTCATGTTGGGTGAGGACTTTATATTGGAAATAAATTATTCCTATTATACAATCCAGAATTGGGTTCTGAAGATGCTTCTGCTTGTCTACCTTTCCCCCAAGTCACCCATCAGAGTCCTTCTCTGTGGGACACCCCTGACTCCCTCTGTCTCATCTTCCTATTTCTTTTCTTTACCCGTGATTACTTTTTCTTTCTTTCCTATTTGATGAAACTGAAAGGACAGAGTCAGTTCCTTCATAGTGTAAAATCTGGAAGACAAACCAAGCTTTCTAACACTAACAGTGAGAGCTTCTTACAGCCTAACCTCCACGTGTGAGGTTGTACTAAACAAGGCCCACCGTGCCTCTCTCCTTGCTTTCCTCCCTCCCGCCTCCTTTCTTTCTTCTCTCCTCCCATCCCTTCTCTTCTTCTTTCATCCTTTCTTTCATTTCTTTCTTCCAGCAAATATTTATTGAGCCCCTATGATATTCCCTGTTGCTTGCACTAGGCACTGAAGAGGGTTCAGTGAGTAAAACAGATCAAGATGCTTCTCCCCAAAGCTATGGGAATGATAGAAGCGGGTAGGGTGGACATCCCAACCTATTATTCTTCTCTATGGAAAGCTGAAATATTGGTGTCATCTTATTATTTTTTCAGTTGTTCTGAATGTAAACCTGTGGTAGAGATGAAGGAGAAAAATGATAACAGAAGGTCACTTACAGTTTCTCCTGGAAAAGCCATCTCTCTGTAGGTTTATCACAGTGAGCCTTGGCATCTTCAAAGGTTGGAGCTGCCACAGGGATAAGAGATCATTCAGCACAGTGCTCCCCAGAATTTTCACAAAGTGGCCCTGGGGCAGAGCAACATGAATCACTGTCCCTGAAAGATGCCTGGACTCTTTAGCATGAAGCCGCCAGACACATGGGAAATTTCTTTGAAATATCTTTTGTGATTTAAAAATTAATGTATTTTTTGCATGCTTTTCATAACATAGCTGTTTGTTTTAATATAAAAATTATCCTCTCAAGATCACATATTGGATGATTCCATTTATATGAAATGCCTGGAATCGGCAAATCCAGAGGCAGACAGTAGATTAGCTGTTGCCCAGGGCTGTGAGGGTTGGGGGCTGTGAGAGTGATGGCTAAGGCATACAGAGTTGGTTTTGGGGGTGATGGAAAGATCTCAAATTAATTGTGTGATTGTTGTACAATCTGTGAATATATTAAAAGCCATTGAATTGTATGCTTTAAATGGGTGGATTGTATGGGATGTGAATTTTATCTCATGAATCTGTTAAAAAAAAAAAAAAAGCTGTCCCTCCCAATCTTCAAGGAAAACTGGCATTCTGGGAAGATGCAGTTGTAGCTTTTCCCCACTGTGTGAGCAGCAGCTAAATGCACCCATTTGAGAATGGCGACTCTAGTCCAACCCCATTAATATACAGACTTATAGAAACTGGAGCTGTGAGGTGACTTGCCCAAGGCCACCCACAGCAAACAGCAGAGCCAGATTTCCTGTGTCCCAGTTCAGGACAACAGGATTAGCCTCCAAACGTACTTTGCATTGAGCTTGAATTTACCTTGTTTCACTTCCTAAATCATTTACTTACCAAGTTGTTTTAGCCACACATGTTCCCTGGTCCTTGGCTTTCTTTGGCTTTCCACGTCCTGGATGTTTCCAAAACAAGAGGCTGAGTCTCTGGATACCTCATCCCATTTTCTGCAGGGGCTGAGTGGGAGTGGCAGGAGGAGGAGGAGGGGCTCCACCCGTTCTTGCCTTGAGCCCCACTGAGCCAAAGGCCAGCTCTGACTTCAAGAGGCTGTGGGAGTAAGATCCACTATCTGTTTAATCACCAGTGGTATCTGGATGGAAGCTCAGCCAGGACACTCTCATCCTAACCTGTGCAGCATTGGGCAAGCTGTGAAAGTGAAATGCTGAGGTCAGATATGAGGACAGATCATGTAGTAACCTGCAGCCCCGTGACCTTGCTTTCTCCAGATGACCTCATGCCGAGAAATGCACAAGTGCATCAAACGTGGCCCCTCCCGGCCAGGCTGGACCATTTCAGCGAGGGGTAGGCTCAGATGATCTCTGGTACCTTGGAGCCTCCCTTTTGTCTGGTTCTTTTTTTTCCCTTTTTAAAAATGTTTGTTTAGAGAGCATGTGCGCAAGTAGGGGAGGGACAGAGAGAGAGAAGGAGAGAGAGAATCCCTGGTGGGCTCCGTGGTGTCAGTGCAGAGCCTGACATGGGGCTTGACCTCACAAACCATGAGATCATGACCTGAGCTGATATCAAAAGGCAGATGCTTAAACCAGTTGAGCCAAACATGTGCCCCATATCTGTCTGGTTCTACATAGTTCTTGCCTCCATTCCTTAAATTTTTTTTTTTTAACATTTATTTATTTTTTAAGGGGGGAGGGGCAGAGAGAGAGAGAGGAGATGCAGAATCTGAAGCAGGCTCCGGGCTCTGAGCTGTCAGCACAGAGCCGGAAGTGGGGCTCGAACTCATGAACCATGAGATCATGACCTGAGCCAAAATCAGACACTCAATCGACCGAGCCACCCAGGCACCCCTTCTTGCCTCCATTCTTTCATGAGATCTTTACAAAGGTCCTGTGAGGTGGTCGAGGAGAGCATTAGTTACCTTTATTTTTCAGATGTGGAAACCAAGGCTTAAGAATCCAAGTTACCCAAGGTTTTTAAGCCAACAAATGGAGAGCTAGACCAGGCTGTTTCCACTAGGTTCTGAGCTGAGATTAGCAGACTGCTCATGGAGGACAGTGCAAAGTTCACCCATGGCCTTAAAGAACAGTATGAGCATTAATCATCATCTGTTGCTTTTGAAGATCACCTCCAGCATAGCTTTGTTTTAAATCTATGCCCAAGGCCGAAATGGAATTAAAAAGATGTGAGAGACAGCAGTCCTTAAGTGTACTCAGAAGTATTTCTTAATAAGTAGCTCTGTCTCCCCTCCTCCCTTCCTTGAATGTGAGAAGTTAGGAAATGAGCAGTCATAAGCAGAGATGGCAGTGTGAGATATTTCACAGAGGCGGTGTTTAACCACCTGTCTAGGAGATGAGCAGCTCGTCCTCGAGGTGGCTTTAACAGAGAACCAGTCCTTCCACAGCCGAGTGAAGGAAATTTGGGAAGTTTGGGGTCTGGAATTCTGGGCCAAGCCATCTCACCGTCTCTGTCAGGAGAGATCCCCGCCCCTTTGATTAGGGTTCAGTTGTCTTACTATAACTCAGTTAGACTCAAAAGATTAAAAATTATCTGCTGCTCTAGCTGCAGTATTAAAAAATACATATATTTATTTATTTTTGAGAGAAAGGGCATGAGCGGGGGAGGGACAATGAGAGAGGGAGACAGAAGATCTAAAGCGGCTCTGCACTGACAGTAGCGAGCCCAACGCGGGGCTCAAACTCACGAATCCTGAGATCGTGGCCTGTGCCGAAGTCGGATGCTCAAGCAACTGAGCCACCCAGGCGCCCCTCTAGTGCCCGTATTTCTACAGCACTTTTTAAAATCTGCAAGATCCTTTCTTCAAATGAAATCAAATACGTAAATCTGAGAAAAGCAGAGTTAGGACAAAGAGGCATCTTGGAGGATGAGCCACCTGGAGCTCCTTGCCTTGCCGGCAGTTCTGGCAGCTGGCTGTTACAAAATCTGGAATTCTGACGTAATCTCTTACTTCATCTGTGGGGAAACGGGACATAATAGCAGTGATCATGGTTATATTTCGTTGTGCTCTCACTTTACACTCATCTTTTCATTCTCCCGGCAGCCCCACAAGATACGTGTGTTATTTTCTCGGATCATCAGAACAGGAACTTGAGACTCAGGATGATTAAGCAACTTGCCTGAAGTCACTTAAAGAAATGCCTGGAGGGACAAGGGACTAATGTCCAGGACTGTCTGGCTGCAAAGCCAGCTCTGGGCTAAGTCTTCAAAAACACACATTTCCCACTAGACCCATACTCTGCAGGGACAAGACCTTGATGGAAACTTGAGGTAGATTTGTTTTTCTGTCCCTCAAAGGGCACCTTTCATGATGCCTGCTTTGAACAGTGGAAGGGCCCTGACTGGTCTGTGGCTCTTGGTGTCCTAAAGGAGGGGTTGGCAGTTTGTCTGTGACCGAGAAGTAAGTCAGGCCACATCCCCAAAGTCCCTGAAGCTGCAGCAGCAGGGATGCCAGGCCTCGGTCCCTGACACATAAACTGCATTGTCGCTTAGAGTGACTTCCGCCTGGAAGCTGGCACTTGGGGGGGGGGACTTGGCAGTAGAGCAGGCTAAGCCCTTTGGGAGCATCTGATCCAAAGTCCTTACTGTACTTACATGGAGTGACAACAGAGGAAGAGGAGAAAGTCACGTGCCAGTGCTGACCATGCGACCTGGGAGTACAAAGTTTTCAATAATGTTCCTTGAGTAGAAGTCCGTTCATTTATAAGTTACAAACCTGGCTGTTGGTACTGTTCTATATTATGCATATTTAAATCTATCCCCAAATTTAAAAAATTAAAGAATGAAATAAAAGATACACCTAGAAATTCTGTTTTTCTCCTCTCCCCAGTTGGGTTGTGTTAAGGATAAATTTCGAGCACTCACTTTGGAGAACTCTGGACCAGTCTCCCTATGAGCTGGGTAATTTAGGAACCTGAGGTCGGATGTTCAGTTTTAGGTGGTTTTTTATTCTAAGCACCACCCCCCCCCACCCCACTGCCATAATAATATCATTACTTCATTCAGTTTTTTATTGTGGTAAAATATGCAGCACATAAAATTTACCATCTTAGCCATCTTTAATTGTACAGGTCAGTGGTATTAAGAACATTCACCTTGTTATACAGTCATCACTAGTCATCTAGAAATGGAGGCATTTCTAGAACTTTTTCATCTCCCCAAAGTGAAACCCTGCCCCCATTAAACAATGACTCCCCATTCTCCAGGCCCTGATAATCACCATTCTATGTTTTGCTTTTATGAATTTGACTACTCCAAAATTATTTTTAAGCTCCTATGATGACTCAGGTGGTGGTTTGGCACATGAGTTTCAGAGGTGAGCAAAGCAAATGAAATTCCCACCCTCCGACCTCCAATAAAGTCTGCTTTAATGAACTAAACTTACCTAACTTAGCTCTACTTTAGATTAGCATCTTTGGAGAGCCCAGGAGATGGGCTATATCCAAGCTGGTGGCCAAGTGCGGAATACAGGGCAGGTGAGATGAGAAGGGTTGGGGGAGGTGAGGCTGGAATTGAGAGAGGTGTGACAGGTGACTACTGGATAAAAGGGAAATACCTTCCCACAGAATTCCTAAAGAATTGGAGGAGAGATGGGACTTCCTGCATCACATAGGTTGAAGCCATATTTGGGATGCTATAAGAGTCATCCCAAAAGGCTAGCGGGCATGCGAACATTGGGGTGTCCTCATTATCAGTAACCCGCGCGTGACTCAGGCTTCGGAGTTTGGGAGGAACAGGTGTCAGGTGTGGAGAGAAGAGAGTGGGTAGGGGCTACACCCCCCGGGGTGCAGCTTGGCTGGGTGGCTAGAAGCCTGCCCACATCTGACTGGATCCCACGCTCTGCCCCTCCGCCTGCCTTTGCCTCAGGATAAAATTATACATTTCCAATTACAGGGCTGGTCAAAAATCAATAAAAGGTGGGAGAGAACAGATCATTTTTCTTACGGAAGTAACCATTTTCATTAATTTTTCATTAGTGCTGCCTTTGTTTTGCTATCCATCACCCGCAGAGCTGCAGCCTGCGTCAGTGAGTGTGCGTGCCTCTTGGCTTCAGGAGTTACTGCTTGATAAAGCCAGCAGGTCACTGCCCAGGACTACTGCCTGCGCAGCTGGTGTAGGTGACTGTTTTGTGACCATCCTGTTGGTTGGAATGTGCTTAAAAACACCAAAACTCAATCGTAACTCTCTTATGGAAATTCTCTTTGTAGCACATGTTGGGGTTCGTTGCATTTCTTTTCAGGGGTGTACATAAGTCAAGCCCTTCGTGGACTCTTGGTGCTGATTGACATGAGGGGTCTGTTTGGCTGGTGTACTTGGCTGAGGGCCAGCTGTATACCTTTGGGACCTTGGGCCTCTGCCTGAGTGCAGGCGGTTTCTTGTGTCTTGACATGTGCTTCTCTGTGCTTTTAATGCAATTATTTTATCCTTAAACTCAGTTCCCTAAGTTCAGCCTGCCCCATCTCTCTATGAAGCCTTCTCCACTCCCCCTTATGGCAGAATTGCTTGGCCAGTAAACCTTATCCCCCGCCCCTCCCATTATGCTCTTCATACAAGTGCGTTGACTACTCACGTGGGTCTCCCCCTAACGTTATCTGAGAACAGGGGCAGTGGCTTTTTAGTTTTCAATTGTCAACACCTAACAGCACCTGGCCAATGGTAGGTGATTAATGAATGTCATTAAAAAACATAAAAACAAAAGACAAAGGCAACTGGAAGTCATTCCTCACTTTGTGTAAGCAAGGGTAAGACCCCTCATTAGTAGTGGGAGGTGAAGCAGGCCTGACATTACCCCCAAATGACTTATCCTATTGTAAAAGAACTAGGTGCTAATCCCAGCTCTGTGGCTAATTAGCTGTGTAACCGTGAATAAGTCATTAACACTGAGTACTTATCAATAAAGGGGGGATTCTCTTCCAGCCCTAATGTCCTTAACCCCAAGAACCTCTGCCCTTGGAAAAGAATCCTCCCTCCCATACCTCATTCGTCAAGCTGAATGACACAGGAGCTTTCTGGTGCTAATTCCCTCCGCTGGCCCCTATCTAGGCCGCTAGGCTGCCTCTCCCTCCTTCTCACACCGAGGCTTGTCCGGAGCGCTGCTTGCCACACTGGTTGTTACCAGCCTCCTCCTCAGCTTTGTGCCATCAATTCTCTCTGGACCTTTTACTGTTTTCTACAATGTGTTTATATATGACTACATTTGGGACAATCACCCTCATAGAAAACATTTTCACACCCCCGCCAAAATTCCCTCAAGTCCCTTTCTAGCCACTGGCCCCCACTCCCCCACCTCTACCCTAGAGGTAACCACTGCTTTAGTCTTGCCTGTTCTGGAACATCATATAAATGGAACTGCGTAGCAAGTATTCCTGTGGTTGCTTGACACTTGATTCCACATAACTTTCTTGAGATCCGTTCATGTTGTTGCATATGTCAGTAGTTCATTCTTTTAAATCACTGAGTAGTATTCTGTTGGTTGAATAAACCACAATTTGTTTACCAATTCTCTATTGTTGGAGGACATTTGGATCGTTTCTGGCTTTGGTCTTTTTTGTGTTTTTTGTTTGTTTCGTTTTAGTTTTGTTTTTTTTGGTCTTTTTGTGTTTTTAACTCCTTTTATATTTGCTTCACTTTAATTTCTAAATGTAATAAAATCATTTAAAAAATGTCACCTCTCACTTACTAGCTACGTGACCATGAGTGGGTTACTTAGACGCTCTGAGCTAATTTCCTTATTTGCAAAATGGGATAATGATAGTAGTTTTGCCATAAGATTGTTTTGGTTATTTTTTTCCCTTTCTAAGGTAAAATTTTTATATTTGAAGAACATCATGCTGCACATTTTCTATTTTTTTTTTTTAATGTTTATTTGAGAGAGAGAGCATAAGCAGGGGAGGGGCAGAGAGAGAGGAGGACAGAAAATTCAAAGCAGGCTCTGCACTGACAGCAGTGAGCCCAATGCAGGACTTGAACTCATGAACCACAAGGTCATGACCTGAGTAATGCTCAACCGACTGAGCCACCCAGGCGCCCCATATTGCACATTTCACACAGTCATGTAAGAAAGCAAAAATGTATCCTTCCCTCATCCTAGAAATAAAGAAGGGCGTAAAAAATTTTTTTAAAAAATCATGAAACTTGGAAGTTTAGCACCAGCATCCAAAATAAATTTTTAAAAAAGGGGGAAAAAGCATTTGCTACATATTTTAGATTTCTTTGGTTGGGGTTCTCCATATGTGGTATTAATAATTCTTCTTTCAATTCCTATTACCAAAACAGTAAAAACCAAGAAAAAAATATTTTACATATTCATATAAATATGTTAGCCACATTATAATGATTAGGTTCATATATTCAATCACTTAGGATATTGCCTAGAATATAGTAAGCACTGTATAAATATTTGCTGTTATTTGTGTTATTATTGAGCTGTCTTGAGGATATGGGTGACATTCTATTCTTGGAAACACATCTGTGGTTCAGGCATTATATGAGGAGTGTAGATTTTGAACCTCATTCTCATCACTCACATCCCTTCTTATAAACATCATGTAAGCTCACTTGTAACCCTGGTGTTAATTTTATTTTTACTGAAAGAATATTAGATGATATGAAATAGATACGGTTCTCAAATATTCAAACTGAAAAAGCATTATCAACCTAACTTGCTGAGCCTCTACCCTTGGCAAATACACTATTAGGAATTTTTGAAGTAGAAAATATTCCAAATAATTCTTGGTTTATAGAGTGTAGAAAATAATAGCTATATCCAATCATTCATGTTAAGATGTGCCATTTTAATAAAGTAAAAAGTTTTTGGGGGGGGGAGGGAATTGTGTATTTTCCTCTGCCATTTCCTTCTAGCTACTGGCCTGCCTCTCTTTTCCTCTGGAAGATCGTAAAGGAATCATGTGCAATCACTGTCTTTAACTCCTTGCCTCTGATTCCCTTCTGAGCTTGCTGTGGTCTGCCTCTGAATCCGAGCTCATCACAATCGCTTCCTCTTGGGGCAGCAATGGCCTTGTTATTGCCACACCTGATAAACGGGTTTCAGTCCTGTCCCTGTTTAACCTCTTTTGGGCACTGGACACTTTCATACTCCCTTTGAAACATCCCCTCCACCCCAATTTCCCGCCCCATTTGATTCCTACCCCCTGGGCCACTCATTCTGGGTCTCTACCCACATCTGAGCTGGTGGGTCTCCAGGTGCATGCCCACCCCCCCAACCCGCCCACCCCTATACACTCCCTGGGCTTCAGGCAATTTCTTGTCAGTCATCACTCCAAAACCACATGTGTAAGCTCAGCTCCTCCTCTGGTGTCCATTCTAACTGTCCCCATCTCTGCTCACCTAGTTGCCCACAGCCACCTCCCTGCCGTATGCTCAGCACCAAACTGTTGAGAGTACTCTTTACATGCCCTACAAATGCAAGCTCCTTCCTGCCTCCCTTCCCTCTTTCTCTCAAGGGCTCCCCAACCATCTGGAAGCCTGAGGTAGACACTTTGGAATCATTCTTGATTCTTTTCTCTCTTTCACCACCCACATCCAACAGCTCATCAAGTTCTGCTGTTCCTACCTTGGAGATGTCTCATGAGTTCACCCCTTCTACCTCCCAATTGCTTTTATTTATCATAATAGCTCTGTAAGACAGCTGGAACAATCTCCCAATTTACCTCTTCAGTCTCTGTCTGCTCTGCTTCCTACTCCATTGTGCCACAAAAATTCGTAAAAGAAATCTAATTACATCACTCTTCTGCTTAGAAATATAATGATTCCGGGGCGCCTGGGTGGCGCAGTCGGTTGAGCGTCCGACTTCAGCCAGGTCACGATCTCGCGGTCTGTGAGTTCGAGCCCCGCGTCAGGCTCTGGGCTGATGGCTCAGAGCCTGGAGCCTGTTTTCGATTCTGTGTCTCCCTCTCTCTCTGCCCCTCCCCTGTTCATGCTCTGTCTCTCTCTGTCCCAAAAATAAATAAACGTTGAAAAAAAATTAAAAAAAAAATATATAATGATTCCTTGTTGGCCATGGCTGGCTCCCCCACTGGGCCTGCCTGGCCTCGGGGTCGCTGGAGGTAGGGCTCCCACCTCAGGGATGCTGAGTTAGTTTTGGGGCCTAGATTTCTGCAAAGAGTTCCCTTCCCTGCCCCTGTTCCACTCTACAGGGACCTTGCTATTCTCAGCATCCTGGCATCGCGCTTCTTCAAGTCTCAGTGCTCTGTCTCAGCCCAGGCTATTGTCTCTACATGAAACCCTCTTTGCTCCACATTTCCTTCTTTGTGTTCCTGGTGGGGTCATCCTGCAAGATTCTCCTCCTCCCCAGCTGTGTCAGGGCTTCTCTGGCTTCCCTAGGATGGGTTCCCTAGAAGTGTTTGTTCCTTCGCCTGTGTTCCCTGGCTCATCTGCACATACCTGTCAGGGCATTGATTGACTCTGCTGATCTATTACAAGGCTACCTGCCTGCCTTTGCTGGGATCTCCCTCAGCAATCTTCTCCCACCTGCATCCTTGGTGGCTAGCACAGCGCCTGGCACGCTGGCCCCACTTAGCGCTTGGCCCATGAGTGAATGGATGAACCTCCCTTCTTCCTTCCTTATTTCCAGCACTGCTTGTCAGATGGTGCCACTGGCAGTGTAAATAGCTGACAAGAATTGAGTCTGGTTTTGTAAATGCTGCCTTAGTTAGGACCTCCAGTTTCTCTGAGTCAGTTTTGGAACGTTTTATTTCACTGATGCCTTTTATTTCAAAAGAAGAAAATTATAGAGGGATGGAGGAGGGGACGACAGGAAAGAGCCTTCTCAACTCTGAAACCTGTTTGATTTGAGTGTAATAAGAGACTCGCTTATTTCATCGTAAAGAACTTCCAGGCTGTAGAGCCCCGCTGAGGTGGGTTTCCTGGTTCCTGGGGAGTAACGTGCATTTCTTCAAGCAGCAGGGCACTGCCTTCTTGCCCAGCTTTTGCAGCGTGGAGAGGCCTCACAGCACAGGGCAGGGGCCGGGGGGCGGGGGGGCGGTGGGATCTGAGGCCTGGTGAG